ACAGGGGCTGTTTTTCCTGGGGTCATGGGGTTCACATTCCCCAAAGACCCAGCATCCATTTCTTCAGAGGGGACAGCTTCTGCCTGCTCTCTGGTCTTCTCAGGACCTGCCTTGACCAAGGCTAGGGACTCAGCCTTCCCAGAGGCACCCGGGGCTTCCTTCTCAGAGGACAGGGGGCCTCCTCCCTGAGAAGTCACTGCCTCAGCTATTACTGAGGGTGGGGGTGCTACAGTCCCCAAGGACTTTCCATCCCCCGGCCCCGAGGACAAGGGGTCTAGCCTCCCAGAAGATTCAGGATTCTCTTTTCCGGAAGATGAGGCTTTTAATCTATTTCCCACAGAACTGGGGTCCACCCTCCCCGAGGAGGTGGGAGCCGCTTTCCCTGAGGAGGCAGTTTCTGTCTGCCCCACAGACACAGCCTGCCCTGAAGACGGGGCTTTGGGCTTTCTTGAGGACAGGGGGTCCTTTCCCAAGGACACAGGGCCCGCCTGGTCTGCAGATGGTGGCGGGGTCCCCCCAGTTTTCAAAGATGTTTCAGAGTTTTCAGGGTCTGTTTTCCCTGCACACACAGAATCCAGTTGTCCAGCAGATGCTGTTTTCCCCATTCCTGCAGCCTCAGGGGCCCCCTCTCCTGAGAAGGCAGGCCCTGTCTTTCCCAGGGGGGCCTCTTTAGCCGGGGACACGGTTTCTGCATTCCCCCCAGACACAGGGCCCACCATCCCCACAGCTGTGGGAACACCTCTTCCCAAGGTCCCCCGGTCCACGGGCTCGGTCTTACCTGAGGTTCCGGGAGTCAGCATTCCCAAAGACCCAGGCTCTGTCTTTTCCATGGATATAGAGCCTGTGTTTCCCCGGAGCTTAGGCCCTGCCTCTCCTGAGGGTGCAGAGCCCACCTTTTCTGAGGTCGCAGGATGCCCTTCTCCAGAGCACCTGGATGCCTCCTTTCCTGGGAACGCAGGCTCCTCTTGGCCCGAAGACACAGGGCCTACCTTTCTCAAAGGCTCTGGAGCCTCCTTCCTTAGGAACCCTGTATCCACTCTACTACAGGATGTCCAGGCCTCCTTTCCCAAGGGCCCAGGATCTCCCTTTCCCAGGATGGCAGGCTCTGTCTGTCCTGACACCTCAGGATTGGGCTTTCGTGACAAGGCAGCCTCTCCCTTGGCTGTGGATGTGCAATCTGCCTTCGTTGAAGTCTTGGGTTCCAGCTCTTCCGAAAGCACAGGGTTTCTGTGAGCTGAGGATGCGGGCTTGGTTTTCACAAAGGACACAGGCTCTGCCTTCGGACCCCCTGGCTTCTCAGAGGAGGGGGTCTCTGGTGTCCCTGAGCTCGAGGCTTCATGTGCCCCGAGAGTCCCCTTGGTGGCTGCCTCTTGGGGAGGGATGCAGGTTGAGGAGGGGCAGGCCAAGATTCCAGCAGGGCCCTCGGAGCAAGAGGTTCCTTCCCCAGCCCCGCTGAGGCTGCCGTGTCTGGACTCCATGCCTGGGCCTTGGTCAGGGGTGTTCTTGGGGGTTGCAGGGCTGGCCTTTTGCTGGGAGGGGCAGCAGTCCCTCATGGCTGGGCTCCCATCCTGTGGGCAAGAGAAGGCTGTGGGCTGCGGTCCTAGGGGACTGGGGGTTTTTTGGAAGCAGCTGGAGCCAAACTGGGTCTTCAGCACTGCCCATCTGTGTTCACGACCATGCTGGGGCTCGTGGCTGCTGCCTGGTTCTGAAACACAGAGGGAGCAGACTCAGACTCCGGGAGGCTCAGCAGGAAAGAAGCCCTCACCTCCTGGGATTCTCCTTCCTCAGGTCCTCCGGCCAATAGTGCTCACTGGGCTCTCTGCCCAGTTACTCCCCCCACCTCCAACTCCCCATCCCCC